AAAGGTCTTCAGACCCTCTCAATCTGAGTCTCTAGCGGGCGACTAACCTCCACCGGAGTAAACAGATTGAGGCCCTATGAACAAAACCTCCACTACCGAATTGAATTCGGTACAGAATAGTGAATTGGCTCCTCGACTAAAGTCACCAATTCACTACCTTCGATTAAGGATACTCTATCAACCTAGGCAGATATTATCATTCTAGGTTAAAGCAGAAACAACAGGAATCTGATCAGGATTCATGCCATTCAATCATTCAAACCTCAATCGAATATAATCACTATCATAGAATCAATACTTGGGTTCATACAATCAAACCTAACATACAGAACTAGGGTTTCCCATACCCAGATGAATGGGAGAACTACTCCATGGAGAAAGAAGCAAAAGCAGAATCAGACGCGGAAATCATACTGTGAAGATGGATTTCTGCTCCTGGACGTTGAATCGGCACTTCTCCAAGCTCAAGCCAAGCTCCAATGGTGTTGAAGATCAAGCTAGGGCACTTGGAGGCTCTTGTTCGTCCTTTTCTCTCTCTAGGAACCGCTCTGTCTCTCAAAAACTCGAATCCCCCTCTGTTTGGCTCGGAATCCGCTTAAAAACCAGAATTTCCCGACTCGCACGGCCAGGGTGCACGGCCGTGCATATCACCATTCTGGCCGTGCGGCTCAAAACGCGGCGTACCATTAAGTCGAACTTCAGCCATCTCGCACGGCCAGGATTGCACTTCGCACGGCCGTGCGGATTTCACTTGTGCCCGTGCGTGCTCTCGCACAATCCCGCACGGCCAAACTGGTCACTTGCACGGCCGTGCGGGTTTTCTGCTCTGCCCGTGCGTGCTCTCGCACAATCCCGCACGGCCAAACTGGTCACTTGCACGGTCGTGCGTGTTGTGGGTGTGCCCGTGAGACTTCCTCAGAACCTCGCCATGCGTCCGATCCTCGTCCAATCGACCTCAAACTCGCTCCCAAGCCTCCATTCACGTACTAGGACCTGAAATATCATAAACAAGCACAACCTAGCGTGAAATCGGTCTAAAACACGAGAATCAATACCTCAAACGGAGTAAGAGCAGGGGTAAAAACATGTGTAAATAACGGTCTATCAGGAGGGGTGCTCCCTATTTATAGGAAAAAATAGTAGTTGAATTCCTCAACTTACGTTAACATTCACCCACATTCTCCGCTATACTCCTATACTCGTTAATATTCTCCGCTATACCTCAATATTCTCCGTCATACACCAACATTCCTTATCAAGTATAGTATTTGAGAAAGTGTAAGGGTGTATGTGAAAGTAGGAGAAGTATAGATATGTAGTGGAAATTGAAAGAAAGAGTAGTGATGGAAATTTTATGTATGTGTATGCATGAACATGCATGAAGATAAATAAAAATGTAGGAAATGGTAGGGAGAAGAAGGAATTTTACGTAAGAGGGAGTGTGGAAAGAAATAGGAAGGGAGGGAGATGAGGTGGCGCCTGCCACTTGTGGGAGAAAGGGAAGGAAAGTGAAAGTGAAAGAAAATAGAAGAAAGTAGGAGAAAATTGGGGAAATGAGGAGTAGGGAATGATGTCTGTATCTTTCTCATGTGGACACATGTGGACAAAACAAATGGGTGAGAGGGAAAAGGAAGGAAGAATGAGACAAGAATAATGGTTATGAAAAAGTACAAATAATAAGTTTAGGAAAAAATAAGAAAGTGAGTAAAGGAAAAAACAATAACAGTAGTTAAAGGAAAAAAAACAATGAAGGATTCTGATGGTATAATACAAATTTTCGGGTATTTCGGGTACCGCAATGATTAACAATTTATCGAGTGTATTAATGAAAGGAAAGGTGTTTAATATTTTAAAATTTTATCGGTTAAAAACTGGGTCTATCATTTATATTATTACTTTTACGGAGGAAAGAGAAACCAAACTTTTCTCTTCCTCCCTCTTTTCTCTTTCCCTTCCTCTCTTCCTTCTCTCTTCCAAACTCCTTTTCCCAGATCTAGATATGTTCCTTTCTTTTGTTCTTTATTTTTTTCTTCAACAATTGACAAAGAAAAATTGCAGCATCATGTCTCAAAATCTGGTGACGCTCCAAATCCTTCTTTGCCGCTGCTTCTTCCTCAATGCAGTCAAAAGCGCGATTCTACCTAAAAGCGGAAAAGGGGTAAAATCGAAAAGCGGTGAATCAAAGCGTAAAAGCGTAAGTTTTTTATGCATCCTGTATAATAGTTCAAAATTTGTTAAGTACGACATAAACTATGTAAAATATGAGTGCACGGAGTTTATATAAAAGAATAAATACTTGCAATTCATATCTAAATTAAAACAAGCTCATAACATCTTCAAAATAACTTCATAAACATAAATCGTAACTCACAAACGAGTTAAGAATCCAAATTCTCACAAACTGGTTTAAGCTTACATAATGACATAGACTTTAATAATCCAAGTTCTCGAAATCAAAGCACACAAATGTTATAAAAGATAGAAGAAAGCTTTAACCTTAACGTTACTGAAACTCATGGGATCACATCCCCTCCAAACACCCATGAACTCAAACCTATGTGATATACTTTCCGAAAACATAATCAAAACTCATGTGAGGATACTATGAGCTAATGGCTGATTGATTTAATGGGGAGGAATGGAACATAAATGAATTTAGTCAGCTGAGAACAGATATCAGCCCGCCATCGGAGAGCGGGTGAGCTAAGAAGAAAAGGCAGCAGCCAAGGGAATGCGACGGGCGACGAAAACTAACATGCTAGGTTGTGGCCCCGGGGAGTGCGATGTGCGACAAAGAGTGGGACGGGCGAAGAAGAGTGCAACGGGCGACAGGCAACGGGAACTATCGAGTGCGACGAGCTTGAGCTTCGATGGAAGGTGGCGGCGATGGTTGCGGACTAGTAGCGGCTGCGGAGAAGGACTGCCTCGCGGCGGCGGCGAGGGTGCTCTGCCGAGAAGGAAGTTCGTCTAGGAGGTGGGTGCTGCTGTGATGGAGTGTTGGAGAGTGGAAACAGCGGATTAGGGATTGGTGGAGTATTTGTCGAGGAGGAGAAGGCGGACAAGGGATTACAGCCTCGGCCCGAGTCCAATATCCACGCCTTTCCCCTTTTTTCCCTAAGTGCTCAAAACGACGTCGTTTTGTTTTGGTGGAGACAGATTTCTCCTTGGCTTGGAATCGGATAAAAGCGGTATGAAAATGCGATTTTATCCGATTTCACCGATTTTAACGATTTTACAACGCTTTTGACCGATTTTGAGTGAAAAACGATTTTACTAGTGATTTGAAACGTTCTCCTTCCCTGGAAACTTAAAATCGTATGATTTTACGCTTTAAAGCGCGATTTTGACTGCACTGTTCTTCCTTATGTTCTTTCTTTTCTCGGCCTCAAAATAGATGACGTTCCATATTGACCAAGAGGGGACGGATCTAAGTGAGTTAAGTTTGCATGTTTTATATTTTAGTATTTGTTTGTGAATTTTCAATTCCGATCTTCCTCCTCTTTTTTTTGTTGCATTTGGTGTTCTTGATTGCGGAGGAGAAATGAGAGGAGACAGAAGACGAGTTTTTTTTGTCTCTCCCTCCTTCTGTTTTTCTTCCTTTTAGGTAATATATATTGATATTACCACACTATACCATATGGTAATGTGTGAAACTAAATGTATCTTTATGGTCACGAGTTTTATCATGGTGGTAGTGGGTGGTAATCGACTCCAGTTCTGAGAAAAAAGAGTTAGAAGACAATGAAGTTGGAGAAGAAAGTGAAGAGAGTCGTAATTGTGTGTATATATATATATATACCGAGATTACCACACTATACCATATGGTAATGTGTATATACCATATGGTAATGTGTATATACCATATGGTAATGTGTATATACCACACTATACCATATGGTAATATTATATACCATATGGTAATGTGTATATACCATATGGTAAAGTGTCTATACCATATGGTAAAATGTGGTAACGAAATGTATTTTTATGGATATCGTGTTTTACTATGGTCGTAAAGGGTTGTAATTAGATTTATATTATTTTTGTATGGTTTTACCTTCTCATACCATGTGGTATTGTATGGTAATTACAATTAATTTGTGTTCATTCGATTAACCATGTTCTACTATGGTGTTATTGTATGGTAGTTAGATTTATAATTTTTTGTAACATGTTTTACCATGTGGTGGTAGTTGGATTTGTAATTTTATTTTAGCATGTTATACCATATGGTATAATATGGTAAATTGATTTGTAAATTTCTGTAGCATGTTTTACGACGTTATACCATGTGGTATACTGGTAGTGTATGGTAGTTAGATTTTTAATTTTTTTCAACGTATTTTACCATGTTTTACCATGATAGTAGACAGTGATAATAAATTTCATATTTGTAATTACTGTCTTTCGCACTAAATTATTTAATGAAAAAATCACCATTTAATTTGAGTTGAAATTTGAACGAAGATAGCTAGGATGATCAGATTCATTTTTGTTGTAGATGAGAGAGAGGAAATAACGTACTTTTTCTAATAGTAAAACAAAGAGTAAAAGAGAAGAGAACTAGATGGGGTGGGAGAGTGGGATCCGCGTCAGCGTCAGCATTAAATAGGGGGTACAATTTACCCTATTACCCCTCCGTGTTGAATTTTAATAAAAGAAAAAGGCTGACACATGGGGGCCAGGGGAAGGGGTTACTGATGGTTACTGATGGAAGAAGGGTTACTGAGGTGATCCGGTCCCATTATCATGGTTCTTTGGCGGGGAAAAAATTACTTGTTAAATTCGTCATTCGAAGATTCATTAGTGATGGCTATATTAATTATAAAAACGACTCTAAACCATCGCAAATAGCTATATATCTTTTTCAACGACTTGTGACGCAAAAACTTATTTGTCACCCTCGTATTCATTTTAATTCCAGATATTGGTATAATCCGTTGATTCTTCTGGTACAATCTGGGTTTTGTTTTCTTGAAGAATTAGTACACACTCCGTTTCTACATGATGGCGCAAGAAGGGTCATTGTCATTGTAACAGTACCCAACAATGTCCGGGTTCGGTTGGTAGACGTAGTGATGAGGCGGCGGGCGGCCACTAGCGTAGCCGTAGGACCATACGACGGGCGCCGGCGGCGGTTTAGAATCTTCCTCCTCCGGTTTCTTCTCCGCTTCCTCTTCCTTCTTCTCTTCCATAGGGCCAACGCTGAGCAGTTGAGCGCATCCCACTTTCCTTCGAAGCAGATTTACGAGTGCCACAGAGTCGATTCCGTCGCCGGTGACCTCGATTTGGGTCTTCTCCGGCCCGGCCAGGGATGCTGAGTGGACGCCGTGGGCGCCGACGGCTACCTTCATGGCCTTGGATCGTGACTTTTCCTTGTGCACTGAGACATTGATCACCAACTTTTGCTGTTGGAACCAATTAATGAAAATTAGTTAGTCACTGTACAACTAACAACTACTTCTATTAAACTGTTCATCGTCATTTGTTTAGTGGTAAACAGATAATTGGCTATCTATGAATCCGTTTGGGGGATACAATACAAATTATTTCCGTCATAAGATCTCACTTTAAGATTAGATAGGTGAAGTGGTTATATCACTAGTTTTAAACCTGTACGTCTTAGGTTCGAATATATTAAGGGGTCGTTTGGAGAATACTAGTCTAAATCTATAGATTGCAAACAATCAAAAAAATTTAACTCTTCGGATTGTTGAAAAATAATGCTAAAATGTTCGTTGTTTGATAATTTTGATTGTTAACGAAAATAAAATTCTAACTTTTCACTAAATGACATGTTTATCCATAGTATAATAAATTAGAGTGGTTCACGAAATATTGAGAATCTATTTATATATATTTTAGTGTGATAAATAAATAAAAAAGGAATGAATAAAGTAGGTTGGAAAAATCTCACGAATCAAGATATATAATCTCTCTAATTATAAGATATTTTATATTTGTAGATTTTAGAGATTTGGAATCTATAAAACTAAAATTCACAATACAAAAAATAAAATAAAAAACATAACTTCCTATGACAAAAAAACCTTTTTATCCAAGCGATCCCTAAATAGCATCTAACCACAAAAACAATCTATATCACCCTTAAAAAAAATATATAAGCTGTTTGACTTGGCGTTCTTACCATCATGATGGAGATGCAGATAATCGGGCGCTCCAGTTGTGTCGAGCTGAGCTTTGAGTTGTGAACTTTGCAGAATAATGGGGAAAACAAGGAGGGAAAGGGTAGGTTTGAAGATTGATCACTTCTTGGGGATTTGGTGTTTGTGCTCTGATGCGATGCCTGTACTTATATGCATGCAATTGAAGAGAGGTTCGTCCAATAGGGGAGTGTTTGGCTGTGCGGAAAATGCCTCTACATTTTCCAGGCAGTCGCAAATTAAGAATCGTAATTCGTAGTGTGTCCATTACCAGTCAAGCTCCACCACTGAACGATTACAAACTAATAATAATAATAATAAAGACCTCATTATCTATTAAAAAAGACCTAGCTCGCACGTCCATATGTGAGTTGCGGTGTACTAGGTTATAAGGCTGACTCTAATGGGAGCGGCATTTCCTCTTTTGTCGGCATTTATGGCGAAAATCAACATTTGATGCAGCAAAACTGGGAATGAAAATGGGATTCTCGGGAACACGGAGAGGGGGTGTGCTGGTGGACAGGACAACCGTCAGGCCGCCACCTGAATTTTGTTTTATAAATATTTTAGGGTTTAATTGGAGTTTAATTAGGGGTATAACACTACAAGAAACAGCACCATTAGCGACGGGAAATTCGTCGCAAAAAGCCCAAAATTCCGTCGCTAAAGCTAAACACTTCGACAGAGCGTCGTGTATACCCCGCCGACTAAAGTTTTCGCGACGAAAATATGTCAATCGTCGCGGAAAACTACGGTTCATCGCAATACCACCGTCTTTTACGCGACGCAAAATCCATCGCAGTTAACCACCTTTTGCGACGAAAACAGTTCGTCGCCAAAAAACTCTTGTGCGACGGCTTAGATCGTCGCCCTAAGAAACATTTCGCGATGACATCATGTCGTCACCCTTTGTCATTTTTAGCGGCGATATAATTTCGTCGCCATAGAAATCCTTTTGCGACGACACTCTCCGTCGCCATAAGTCATGTTTTGCGACGCATTATTCGTCGCCAGAGCAAATCTTCCGCGATGGTATATCCGTCGTGTTAGCATCTGCTACATTTGCTGCACACTTTGGCGACGCAATTCTTCGTCGCCAATGTTGAGTTTTAGCGACGATAATTCCGTCGCAAATGATATGACAGGTTCACTATGGTGCTGCATTTGTGTTTCCTGTTCATACAACATATTGATAATAATTATTAGTTGTATAAACAATGCTTTCTTTCTTGATAGAATACTGAACCATAATATATTAATCTCGTTCATGTGTAATATTCTTATACATACCATCCATAATAGCATGTTTACCATCCATAACCTTAAACACAGACTCTAGCCTAATAGATGATCACTAATTACATGGTCATCATCCATATTCTTAAAACACAAGACTCTAGCCTAATAGATCATCACTAATTACATGTTCAGCATCCATAACCTTGTACTAAAGATTAGAATATATATAAGCTCATTATGTACAGATCAAAATAATCACGATGAGCTTGCTGGCCTATGTCAAAATAAAGAGCTGGCTTGTCAAAATAAAGAGCTTTTTGTTGATAATCTGCAAAAAGAATCAATAAAAAACAAAGCTTCAAATTACTATGATAATACTTATTTTCTTATAGATTTCTAAACTTCCGCATATAAAAATAGATTAGTTACCTTAAGTTTCAAATCAACCAAACATGGACCCAAATGCTCTCCATCCTATTGGTAATCTGCATTGAATAAAATACAAAAGTGCAAGTTAATTACTAGCAGTTCATGCATTCTCATTAAGGATGTACTTTTCTTAAGGATATAATATACCCCCGAGCCTTTTTCATATTGTTTTTAAATATACATATCATATTTCAGCCCCTTAAATTCATCCACACATGCAACTTGTACTAATAAATCCTTTCTCTGATTCTCTACACCATGCATTACCATATTTATCAAACAATTAAGTGCCTTAAAGGAAATCTAAAAGCAAACAGCTTAACAACTTATAAACTTGAAACATATGAAGCTTTTGCTTACCAGATATCTAGACCCGGTAGGATGTTATTATCCTTTAGGTAATCGGCCAACTACCCCAACCTATCTACCGTTTCTTGAGTCCTTTGCAATTTCCCTCGGTCGCCGCTTGTTTTTTATCAGCCATAATTTGTCTTTCATTCAACTCAACCACTTTCTCCTCCATACTTGTGCACCTCTCTTGGAATATAATTTTTTCTCTCAATAATTCGGCATAGGTATACTCCTCGCGAGGTCTTTTCTTGGGGGGTGATTGGCCATATCCAAGTCCATTGCAGTACCCCGATTTGTAGCCTAGAATCCTATGGAAAGCTTCATCTTCGGATATAGGATCGTCACTATCTCGAGTACTTTCCACAAGCTCATGCATCTTTTCCTATTTTTTTCATATGAAATGAGTGAGTATTGGCCATTGTCAAACACTAGTTATTGAACAATGACTATAATGCTTAAAACTTACATATAACTCTTTCCTGTGTTGAAATTTCCATTCTCCATTCTGCTCTGTCCACTGCCACTTGTAGAATGCCATCTTGGACAGCTCACCATTATCTGCTTTTTCTTTCTAGTTGAAACAAAGATAATTCAAAAAACAAAACCATAAGTTAGTAATTTGTCATAACACAACTGCTAACGTTGTATCAGTGAAATCCCCAACCTGCTCTTTGTATAAGCAAACATAGGTCACATTTCCTTGAGTGTTTAGACTCTTCACTTGGCTTCGGTTTGTTTAGTTCTTCAAGGCAATTTCCTATGAATTAACAAATAGCCACATAGCAAAAGTGATGATCACCCACAAATTTGTGACCAGAATATGCAATATGCATGTAGAATCGATCAACACCTACACACAGAGAGGTTGCAATTTTGTCTCTATCTCTATTTACCAATTTACTATGATCATAACACACCTTAGTGGTGATCCAGGTGCAACAACCCCTTGCCCCAAAAAGTCCACAAATTTGTGTTCATCATAATTTGAAAGCAACATATTTGAACCGTATTACTGTCCCAATAATCACACAGTGCATCCCATGTTACTTGAGTGAGAAAAGGAGGCTTATTCTGCTTAGGTCTCTCAACGCCTGTATAGAAATCATCTTTTACTCTGTTCCTTCTTCTCCTGACATTGGTCTGAAACAGGTCCCACAACTTTTTCATCTCCATCGGATTCTCTCTTATACCACCCAAATCCAGTTTGACCTGGCATCATATAAATATACATATCGAATTAGGTAGTCGGAAATTAGCCACTGTTACAAAAATATAATCATATTAATTACCTCTAGCATCAATATGACTTATTCCAATTGAAGATTCTTGTCCTTATGAATTGGCCAAAAAAACAAATGAGCAATTTGTCCAAGTGTACTTCCTAAAGCACTAGATGCTTTCCTCTCTAATGGCCGACCATATAATGGATCGATGGTAACATCAAACTTCTTTCCAGTCCTCTCAATTATCTTGTTTAGCTCAACACCACGTGAGGGGCCTCTACCCTTTTGCTTCTTTTGTGTAGTATTTTCACCTTTACCTTTCAATATGAAGGAAAATTAAGTAAACAATCACATTAAAGTGTAGTCACTTCCTATAAAAAAAAACACAGAGCTTACTTGTATCCATTTGATGCTCTACATTTTCTACAAACGCTTGCTCATATGGATCAACTGTATTGTTTGATCGATTAATAGGGGGATCACTTGTTTGACAAGGTTGAATGTTTTTTGAGCTGGCCTTATGCGTCAAAGTGGTTGTGCGGTAAAAAGATAAGAAAAGGCAACCAACATAAGCTTTCAAAGGCAGCCAATAAACTTAGAGTCAAACTAATCACCTTCACTTGACTGTGTCGGCCCTTTACTTGGTGCCTCGTCACTTCCAGCTCTTATTTGATCTTGCAGATCAGTGCGAGCTTGCAATAACGCTATTGTGCGCAATGTTGCCTTTCCCATGTTGTGAAAAGTACCACCAATCACTTTTTGGCCATTGGCTGTATAACAGAAATGAAGAAAGCCGAAGACCTCAAATAAAAGAGCTTAAGGTGATACAAATTCATATGCAAAGTTTAATAGAACTAATGATCATGGTAATAATATATATAGAGAGGATGCTTTTATCCTCGGTAAATAATTGTAGCAAGAGTTGCACTCGCCAATAATCTATACAAT